TTCTCATCCCAAATATTGTAGTAGTAGCTCCCTTTAAAACATGAGTCAGAAGATGTCTCTCCTCTGCCTAATTACCTCCTGTGGCTTCTTATCTCACTTGGAGTAAAACCAAAGCTCAGATAATGGCCAAAGATGCCTTCCATGGTCTATTCCCAGTTACTTTCCTGCCTCATGTCCTGTTGCCCTCCCTCTTGCTCACTCTGCCCTGGTTATGCTGGCCTCCTTGATGGTGCTCAGTCATATTGTGCACCATCTTACCTCAGGACCCTTGCACTTGCTGTACCCTCATGCTTATTCCCCCATTGATTTCAGGTCTATGCTTAAATGTCACCTGTTTATTTTTGAGGCCTTCCTGACCACACTGTCTAAAATAGCTCCTCTATTTCACCCCTGGAATATCCAGTCCCTCGTTCCTGCTTTATCTTTCTCCATTGCGTCTGAAGACTGTATATTTTGTTTATGTATTATAGTTACTGTTTGTCTCCTTCTTCAAGAATGTAAGGTCCAGGAGGGCAGCAAGTTTCCTGCTGTGTTTGCGGTTGTATCCTAGCACCCAGAACAGAGTTTGGCACATGGAAGGTGCTCGACGGGTTGAATTATTGAAAGCCTCTGTCCGTTTCCTTGAGACCAATGATTTGGGACATTCTTTATGAATGTTTGGTGTTGCCCCCAGAAACCTCTGGAATAGGCCAGGACATAACTTCATTTAAGCCTACTCTGAGGCAACAGAAGTGGTCCAAGAAGCTCTCCCTGCCCAGTCTAGTCTCATATGAAAGTATGCTCAGTTTCCCTCCTTCTTTTTGAAACAAGCATTCAGGAAAGGAGCTGAGAAAAGTTCAGGGTAAAGCAAATATTAAAGAGTAAAATGTCTCATAAAACTTAATGTGTTTCACCTCCCAGGGAAATGCGTATCTATACCAAGTTGAGAGATGAGTACTTAGTGAGTATCTGTGAATGAAGACAAAATTGGGCTGGGTGCTTTCTCTCTTTTTCTCACAAAGTTGCCAGATAACATCATTATCTTTGTTTTAAACACAAACAAACAAAAGTTTGGGAGGACCAACTAATGTATCCAAAGGCAGTGAGTAGCAGAACCAGAATTTCAGCTCAGACTAGTTCCAAAGCCTACACTTTTTCACTATACCATTCTCTTTTTCTCAAGGAGTGAATGGAAGAAAGGAAGGGACTCTAAGCTTGAGGTCAAAAAATGATTCAGAAGGACAAATCCATTTTTCACATTGTGAATTCTGTGTATCTCTGCTTTTATCTGCTTGTGACCAATCTCCCTTTGGAAAGATTTTTCTCAAGGATGGGAACAGAAAGAGGTTTCTGGTCAGTCTTTATTAAAATAGATTATTCATTTCATTTTGTTTACTCTGCTCAAGAGTCCTGATAAATTAAGATGTCACACTGCTATCTTTTATGCATAAATTAACTATTGGACAAATCATGAAATTGTCTTTGAAATGTTCACCTCTAAACTTTGCTTACCTCCACCCTGATGTCCAGGTGGAGTAACAGAAAGAGTTCCTCTTGCTTTATCCCTCACCCAAAGATTCGGTGAGTGTGTATGGGTCAATTTGTAAACCTGCATAGAGCCCTTATTTAGAAATAAAAATTCTTTTCCTAAAAGGTAACTACGATCATAATCAAATTTGGAGGTTCATTTCTAAAGCCTCTCTTAACAACCCAAATTATGGGTATCTAAGGATCCACACTGATAAGCTGGAATAACTCCAATAAGGAAATTGCCTGCCAAACGAGAGAGTTAATTACTAACAAATTGATTCAAATGGGAAAGAAATAGTTTAAAGCATTTGGCTGGGTATTCTTAGCCAGAAACTTCACTCACTTTTAAAAGATATATTTTCCTTTTCGTTATATTGGTAATATTATAAGACTTTTGGCAAATAAATAGAAGTTACACATTATCTCATCATAACTCATTTTGATGCGTTTCATTCTAGTCTTTTTTTTTCTTTTGGCCTGGGCATATTTTTTTTAAACTTGTTTTAATTATCACATATCTCTATCCATCATAAATATTTCCCAAGTGATTGTCATTATAACCATTTAAGAGATAAAGTGAATTTTATTGTAAATGTAATAAATGTTGTTTTTAGACAAGTTGAATTATGATTAAAAAAAAAAAGAAATATAAAGAAGGAAACAAAATCACCCCTAGGCCCATCATCTAGAGGGCACCACTGTTAATATCTTACAGTGATTATTGACACTTTATTTCATGCATGTTGTTGTTATTACTTGCTTTTTAGTGGTCGTACAATCTCCACTGAGTGACTATACTACAATCCACCTAACCAATCCCTTATTATGGGAGTTTAGTTTGCTTACAAATTTTGGTGAAAATTTTTCCCATAACTTAAGTCTTCAAAATTCTAAAAACTGGGTCACAGGGCATAAATTGTTTTATGGCCATTCCCAAAGTGAGAGGCTTCTCTCTGGAAGTGCTGTTGCAAGGGGTGGGGTGTGGGTGGTGAACATTAACAGCCTACGATCTGCCTTCCAGCCCTCTCCATCCTACACCTGCTCCCACCCCCTACACCACCCACCTTTCTGTACTCTTCCCCAAGTAAGTGTGCCAGAGGCGTGTCCGCTCCTGGTTCTTGGTTTGCTGTATTCTCTGCTTTACACAAGGCAGGGATTGGTTATCTCTTCTTTTGAGGTTTCAACTTAGGTAAATAGCAGGTGGAGCCTACCCATTCTCTTTCTTCCGGAGCCAAGAAGGATGACATTGCTCTTTGCTTTTGTTTGGAAAGTTACCTCTGTTTGCCTAGAAGGCTTCAGAGCCACCGCAATCTCACTGGCCTTCCCTCCTCCACATTCTGTCTCTCTAGTCAGGGCCCTCACATTGGGTTACCTGGTCATCGCTGTCAGGGGTGTGTTCTCTGCAGCTGGCGCCTGTAAATAATGGTTCCATCAAGCACCCTTGGGGATTATGAAGAAGAAAGAGCAGGAAGGGTGCCTGTGTGGGGTTACTTATTACTGTGTTTAGTATACCCAGAGGTTTTTGTTTTTTGTGGTTGGCATAATAGTAACAATAATGATAAAAGCTGATACTTGTAGAATGCGCACTCTATCCCTGGCGGGAAAGGCAGTGTAGTTAGAAGACCAATGACCCTGAGATTAGAAAAAGTGGGCTTCCCTCTCCCGCTACCTGTAACAAAGCACTTTCATCTCTGATTTCATTTTTTACGTCTCCCTTAAGCTCCTCAAAGGATTGTTGGGAAAGTCATAAAAAATAAGTCTAAACTGTAAAGTGATATTCAAATGCGAAAAGGTATCCTTATTGTAATTATTCATGTTCTCTTCAACCATATGCCATCGATAATCTAAGGAAAAGATATACCTTTTTTTTTTTTTAAATTTTTTTTTTTTAAAGATTTTATTTTTTCCTTTTTCTCCCCAAAGCCCCCCGGTACGTAGTTGTGTATTCTTCGTTGTGGGTTCTTCTAGTTGTGGCATGTGGGACGCTGCCTCAGCGTGGTCTGATGAGCAGTGCCATGTCCGCGCCCAGGATTCGAACTAACGAAACACTGGGCCGCCTGCAGCGGAACGCGCGAACTTAACCACTCGGCCACGGGGCCAGCCCCGGAAAAGATATACCTTTTGAGCTACAAGGTTTTTGAATTTTGTTTTCTGAAATTGTAAAGCTGGTTAAGTTAAATATTATTTTTTCAGGGTACGTTTTGTCTGTTTAAATGTTTGAAGTGACCTCTGTTATTTGTTTGTTTATTTTAATAATGTGTAGAGAATGCTCCTTGATTTTCTCCACAAAGAATTGTACTGTCAATGAAATCAAACTTTCTGAATAAGTAGCAGATGACTGGCACACATTTAAATTTGTGGACCAATTTAAGGAAATGATTCTCTTATTTTTTCATGAAAAACTCATAATAGCTAAAATATCACCAGCTAAAGACATTGAAGTCCAGTAGCTACAGTAAGTGATCACTATTTTTGCAACATTTAATAAAAAGCAGCCTGTACGTGAATCTTCCCTTCTCAATGAAGCCCCATGTGTCCACCCTACTAAATACTGCAGTCTGCCCCACTCCACCCCAGGACTGCCTGCCCCCTTCACCCTACTCTGCATAGTATTTTTCCTTAGCCCTTATCATTATAAAATAATACATAAATCAGTTGTTTTTTATGTTTGTTGTTTGTCTTCCCACGACTTGAGTGTAAGCTTATAAAGGGAAGTATCTTTGTCTGTTTTGTTCACTGGTGTATTCCCAATCACCTAGAAGAGTGATGGGCACCTGGTGGGTGCTCCATATACATTTGTTGCATAACTCGAATGAAAAGTAGTTATGTAACAGTATGAATGGCAATTATACCAGAAAATTTTTACTAAGTATCTACCGTGTAACTGGCAGCATGTATATATCGTCTCATCTGGTGTTCCCAATAAATTTATGAAGCAGGTAGCATTCATTCTGCCAAATTGCAGATGGGGAAACTGAGGGTTAAAAACAACAAAGTAGATCCCCTAAGGTCTCATAGCCAATACAATTAAGAACTTTGATTTAAACTCAATGAGCCTGGCTCCTGTGAACCCTATTCAAGAGAACAATGTTGCTTCTACATTATTTATTTATTGAGATATCATTATTAAGATCTATGGGATTTCATTTGGGAAAGGAGGTTTTCCTATGTAAACATTTTTGGCAACCACTGTCCTAGATATTTGAACCAAACCAAAATCTTGTGGTTGCAACTCCAGGACTTTAGCAGATTTCCATGTAATTAAATTTCTGTGGCGTTTGAACTATTTCCCCCACCTCCTGCCATCTGTTACTTGGTTTTGCAGAAGAAAAAGTAAACAACTTTTGCGAATTTAAGGACTTTCTTTTGCTCTCATAAAAAAGAATCTTGTTCCTCATCTCTCTGTATTTCATTGTGTTGTATGTTTTGCGTATATGGTCTGTGTTAATTTCCACCACTGTCTCCTTCACATTCCCAACTCTCTTTTCTAGGAGAATGATATAAACCTGACCCACATTGAATCCAGACCATCACGTTTAAAGAAAGATGAGTATGAATTTTTCACCTATCTTGATAAACGGAGCATGCCTGTTCTGGCAAACATCATCAAAATCTTGAGGCATGACATCGGCGCCACGGTGCATGAGCTTTCCCGGGATAAGAAGAAAGACACAGGTAAGAAGCAGGACAATTTTGCAACACAAGAGACTCATAAAATAACGGCAAAAATCATATCTACCCTGGAAGACCACTGGTGAGATTAAACTAGAGGATGTAGGTTAGGGACCTAGATGAGTGCCTAGCATAATTTAGACGTTTGATAGATGTTAGTTCTTTTCCCCCTTTCTCAAGATAGCTCTTATATTAGTCCTTTTCTTTGTGTTGCTGCAATTTTTGTATATTTTTTGTTCCTGGGTTATTATGCTCTCAATCTCCTGTCTCCAGAGTGGGGCTGGTTAGGGTGTCCAGGATGCTTTCTATGTCAATACAACTTCAAGATAAATTCCCTAGTTATCTCGATTCCAACTAGAGGGCTCTCCCCATGTCCTTCTCATGACACGCCATTTCTGGAGCTGGGTATTTCCTGTCTCCTTGTTCCTAGGGCTTTCATTGTCATCGGACATCTCTTGATCTGTCTCTTCCCCTAGATTACGAGTTCCTCGCTCATAAAGAGAGTCTCTTACTTTTATTTGTGTCCTCAGAGTGTAACACAGTGCTTGGTACAGAATTTGTGAATGAACAATTAAATAGAGGATCTGTTGAGACTTGCTCTGCCCCCTTAGCTACTTTCTGAAATGCTGCCCATTGATGTCCCTGGAGGGCAGTAGGGCAATAGAATGTAGGAATTACAAGTATGGGCTGGAGTTGGACAGACGTCCGTTCAAGTCGTACTTCTTCCACTTATTGGTTTTGAGACCCCTGACAAGCCTCTTTAATTACTCTAACTTCAATTTTGCATACAGATTTTGTGAGGATTAAACGAGAACACACCATTTAGAATAGTGCTTAGAACAGTGTCCGGCTCGATACATCACAGTATGTGGTTGTAGTTATGATTATGATTAGCCTAAAAAGAATATGGATGAACGAGGTGATTGCTTTTTAGGGTCCAAAGCATAATCAGATGAAGTATTTTTTTAATAGACTTTATTTTATTTTATTTTAGAGGAAGATTAGCCCTGAGCTAACATCTACTGCCAATCCTCCTCTTTTTGCTGAGGAAGACTGGCCCTGACCTAACATCCGTCTCCATCTTCCTCTACTTTATATGTGGGATGCCTGCCACAGCATGGCTTGCCAAGCAGTGCCAAGTCCGCACCCAGGATTTGAACCGGTGAACCCCGTGCCGCCAAAGCGGAACGTGTGCACTTAACCACTGCGCCACTGGGCTGGCTCCTAGACTTTATTTTTTAAAGCTGTTATGTTCACAGAAAAATTGCGCAGGAAAAATAGAGAGTTCTCGTATGCCCCATTTCTCCTGCCTCTCCCTCCCTCAGTTTCTCCTATGATTAACATCTTACATTAGTGTGGTGCTTTTTTTTAAGATTGGTGAGCCATATTGATACATTATTATTAACTAAAGTCCATAGTTTACGTTAGGAATCATGCTTTGCATTGTACACTTCTGTTGGTTTTGACAAGTCTCATATCCACCATTACAGTCTCATGCAGAGTGGGTCCACTGCCCTAAAAATGCCCTGTGTTCCACCTGTTCATCCTTCCTTCCTTACCTGCTTCCTCTGGCAACCACTGATTTTTTTTACTGTGTCCATAGTTTTGACTTCTCCAGAATGGCATACAGTTGGAATCACAGAGTGTGTAGGCTTTCAGATTGGCTTCTTTCACTTAGCAGCATGCATTTAAGGTTCCTCTATGTCTTTTTGTAACTTGATAGCTCATTTCTTTTTATCACTGAATAATATTCCATTGTATGGGTGTACCACAGTTTACCCACTGAAGGGCACCATGGTTGCTTCCAAATTTTGCTGATTATGGCTAAAGCTGTTATAAACATTCATGTGCAGGTTTTTGTGTGGACATGAGTTTCCAACTCATTTGGGTAAATGCTTAGGAGTGCAATTGCTGAGATGAACTATTTTTTTTTCTAAATAATCAAAAATTTTTACCATCGTAAAATCAAAAGGTTTTTTTGCCACAACACTGACTTTAGGTCAAGAGGATTTTAGGCTCTGCAGCTGAAAATAGCATTTTAATAGGCAGAGATGTTTTTAAGTGAGACAAGACACCTCTTTGCACAGGCCATTGAAACATTTTCTAAAAGATAGCTCCAAAGATTTCCTAGGAGATCTCTCGTGTTTTCCTGCCCTCAACCCCCCGTGGCTATAACTGAGACAAGGAAGTCTATCCCAGGGTTCTGTCCTTGCTGAGGGTGGACATACACCATGGCTCAGGTCACTCAGGGCGGGAACTTGGAATTCCAGCTCCCATCAATCCTATCTGCCTTCCTTCCCCTTCCACAGCCCGAGCTGCTTCCTGATGACTGCCTTCTCTTGCTTTTCCGGCCACCTGCTCCCGACAGGAGCTGCAGGCCCTCAGGACAAAGGGCCTGCCGGATCCTGGGGCAAGCTCTGCCTCTGCTTGGAGCAGGTGGAGGCCAGGCCAGCTGGGCTCCTGGGGTATGAAATCAAAGCAATTGACAGGCAGGCAGGCAGGCAGCCCCTTGGGGAGCCAGAGAAGATGTATGTAGATCATCTGAAGGGCTGGCAGCCTGAACTGGAGGCTCAGAAAGGAAGTTCTTAACAGGGATGTGAAGGAATAGCTAGGAGCCCAGAATTCAGAACCAAGGCACATCACACTTGGTGTGACTTTGGGCAAACTACTGACCTTCACAATCTCCCACTGTATCAAATGAGAGTAACAAGAGTCTCTGCCTCATAGGATTAATGAAATAACACCAGTGGAGCATTGAGAACAGTGCAGAGCATGTTCAAGGGCTTAATAGATGCTCTCTATCCCTACCATTACCGTCACTGTTATTACAAACACTGGCCTGAGCACAGGAGCCATGAAAAGCCAGCCTGTGCACAACTACTTTTTCAGAGATCATGAGAACTGCAAAATGACCTCAGAGGTCATGCAACCCAACAGACTCCTTCATTTTTCATTGTGAAAAACAGAGGCCATGACTTGCCTTAAGGCACCAAGTGAATTCTGTGCAGTTGTGGGTAAGCGTGTGTCGAGCGCTGCTCTGTGCCAGGCACTGTGCTGGGAGCTGGAGAGAGAGGGGGATTCAACACTGCCTGTTCTTAAGGAGCTCACAGGCTGACAAGGGCGACGAGACACCCAGGTGGATACAGGAAAGGGACAGGTGCCGTAATGGAGACAAGGCTGTGGAATTTGGCCTCTTCTTCACTGCTTAACTCTGAGGACCCAGCAAGTGTGAAAGTGAAAAAGCCAATGTCTTCACACAGAGGTATCATGTGATCAGTGTTGGGCTTATCAGAGGCTGAATGTAGCACAGGCTCGATTCCCTGGCAGGGCTCAAAATGGCGGGGCATCGATATTTGAAGTTGGGTTGACATTTTACCTACTGAAGAAAAAACTGCTAAGACTAACCCTTTAAAACAACACATGTTTTGTGACCCTGATTTCTTCAGAAGATTGGTCGCTCCATCCCACACTGGCTCCCATACTCACATCCCACTCCATGCCATACGGTTTCCTAACTTCATGTCCACATAACAGAACAGCTGCTAGAGATGCAAGTGATGCTGAAATAGCACAGCCTTGCACCTGCTGAGAGAGGTGGGCCCTTTGGGTTTCTGGGGTAGTTTTTATGGACTGGAGTCTGAGCCCAGAAAGAGATCTTTTTAGGGGAAGAAACCATCCCTTTTCAGAGTTTTTCTTTCTGTAGAACTCAGAGGGAGAATGATTAAAGGAAGAAAAGCATCGTCATAGATCAGAACCTTTGATGCTTTCACTCAACAAAATGCCCTTTCTATTGAGGGTCTCAAAGCTCAGGGGCGAGTCTGACAGCAGGTTGAAGTGGGAGATCTGAACCCCTCAAATCAATTAGGCTAAACCACTTTCCATTCTAGTTTTTGAGCCATTCAAAAGGCCATGTGGGTGTTAGAAAATGAAACTTTTCAGTTTCTTAATTGCTGAAGTTCCCCACCCAAAACAGCTTAAAGGAAGGTTAATTATGGTGACATGGTAAAGAAACCCCAACCTTCTAAAATGCCTCCTGGAGAAGCTGATGTGAGTTTAATAGGATTTTAATCCAGAGAGTCTTTTGAATACTTGAGGTCTATTCTCCTGCTATCCTCTCTCCTGATGACCTCAAATCCGTCTTCAACCCAACATGAAAGAGCATTAATATCTTCCATCGATCAACCTACTAATCCTTTTACCTTTCCCTTTGAGTCTTCTGCATGACATGACATTTAGAGGGGGATGGAAAATTCCTACATGGAGACAGATTGCAGCCAGGAGAAGCAGACGGACAAAATGTCTTGGGTAGATGGAGGTACAGGATCGTCACCTTTTGAGAAATTTATCTGTTTAGAGTTATTTTCCAAGAGCAAATGGACATTGAGTGGATTTGTGTGTGTGTGTGTGTGTGTGTGTGTATGAGGAAGATTGGCCCTGAGCTAACATCTGTTGCCAAGCTTTCTCTTTCTGCTTGACGAAGATTTTCACTGAGCTAACATCTGTGCCAATCTTCCTCTACTTTATGTGGGATGCTGCCACAGCGTGGCTTGATGAGCAATGCTATGTCCATGCCTGGGATCCAAACCTGTGAAACCCAGGCCGCTGAAGTGGAGTATGCAAACTTAACCACTATGCTACCAGGCTGGCCCCAACATTGAGTGGATTTTGTTCAAGTTGTGGTGATTATAAGGGTCCTGGTATGGAAGCAAGGGAGTCCAGCCTACCAGTACAGGTATATTTTCTGTGGGGAGCAGAAAGGCTGTTTATTTATTTATTCATCTATCTGTCTATCTGTCTATCTATCTATCTATCTATCTATCTATCTATGTATCCATCTATCTATCTTTCTAGCCTGTGGCACTTATGATTTTATTTGTCTATTTAATTTGGATCAACTCCTGAAGCAATGATTAAAGGGAAAAAATTATTGTGAGAAAACAAAAGCAATATCATTGGACTTATTCCTTCTGTCTTATATGGCCCCCCCCACCCCAGCCCTCTTG